AAAGCGACATAACATCACATTTATGTTCATTTATTCTTATCCTTGGAATCCTATCTAAACAATATCCTGCATAAGCACAGATTGCCATCCAAACACGATACTCAACCGATGCTCACTCACTCTATTTTACGCCCTAAAATCTCGAAATTCCGGAGAATCTCATCCTAGTACTCTAGAACACTTGCGAATGGCTGAAGTGATTAGAATTTAAAATGAGCGATCGATCAACGCGCTCGCTACCTTTCCATAAACTCGATTGGTGTTTGTTCCTCTTCAATTGTGCCCGTGAAACGATCCACAGTGAAGCGTGGTACCACATCGTTCTTGTCTCGTAAAATAATATGAAACTGCTTATCGGATGTCACTTGACTTCGCATATCCTAAAATTGAGTGTTTTATTTGCTGAATAAACTTAATCTGATAATTGCTAAAGAGTGTTCTCACGGGTTATATCTATCTATCCGTTGTCTTCATTCATATAACAATCATTCACATTAGCATTACTGTTATCAATAACTCATCCATCAAAGTAACGTACCATAGCAGTGATCGTCAACGTGTAGTTCATTTGGTTCTCGTAATCCAAACCAACCATATTGCGCACAACCACCCAATCACGACCGTTCACCTTCTCCAGGAATTCTCGAAAATGTTGCTCACTGTTCACACCTCGACTTGCACCATTCGCCATTCTGTTGAGAACATTCACTTATAATTCATATTTAAATTCAACACTACTAACAATCTTTAATACCACACAGAGATCAAGTCGTATTGCTTCCATAAATACGTTCATTATTATGATCACCATTGCACTGTTATTATCATAATCGCCATTATTACTAACAACATTCTATTACAAATGATTACTGTCATTATCTACGCTTTTATCATCGCTTTCATCAGTTTTCAAATAATAATGTGATTCTAAGAAGAATGTAATTCAGAAGAACGTAGAATTCTATGTGCATGAATTGTTCACGCAGAGTCAAAACTGTGTTACATTTCTCATCACAGTCAATAAAATACCGGAAGTCCCTCAAACGAACTTAATTTTATAGGATGCCTTCAAAAGTTGTCTCATATTAATAAAAGTTATCGCCAGCCTTCGAAAGCACTTCTTTCTCGACCTTCTAGTGATTACACTCGACCGTTTTATGTGTTCTTTCGATAGCAAATGATTAAATTAATTAGGGTTTTATACTCAATAAAATGCAATTTTTATCTATTCTTGTGCATATAACAGAAGCCATTCAGTTAGTTTCCGAATTAATGTCGTCGTATCAGCAATAAAGTTTGATTGATGAAACGATAGGAAATGAAAGTAATTTTAAGTTGCTATGTTGTTGCTATGCTCACCAAAACAATTACTTGTTACATCACTGAATTCAGCTTGCATATAGTGCACATAAGAAATAAAAATAATACTAATGGATTCTGTTACGTTTGAGTAATATTAAGTAT